TTATTATTGTAATTTTCATTAAAATAAAGTATGTTTATAATGCAATGCCTTTATCACTGCTTAGAATACTATGAAATCTGTTGCGTGCCTTATTCTGTTTAAGAAGCCACATCATCTCACAGACGGATTTATTTCAAACACTCGACTGACGTTATGAAGTGAGTTTGGAGTAAAAATATGTTATTAAATGTGGTATTTTCACATGCTTTCAGATGGAGCAGCATTTACTTCACAGCCGTAGTGCACTGAGAAGCTATGCAAACAGCTGTCATTATCGCAAACGATTTCTTCGATTTCAGAATCGCGCAATAAAATCGGCTGCGATTTTTTTGCGTAACTTGTCAGTGAACTATGGCTATGTGTAGTAAGTTCTGCTCCATCTGAAAGCACGTGATGATGATTTCCTGCTGATTACAGAACCGGCTTTTTTAAACAAAATGCGCATGACAATCGCATTCGATTAATCGTGTTTGAAGTATTTCAAAATCGGGCAAAAAGACATATATGTGACCCTGGAGCACAAAAGCAGTCATAAGTCGCTGGGGTATATTTGTAGCAATAGCCAACAATACATTGTATGGGTTAAAATTATAGATTTTTCTTTTATGCCAAAAATCATTAGGATATTAAGTAAAGATCATGTTCCATTAATATATTTTGTTAATTTCCTACCGTAAATATATCAAATCTTAATTTTTGATTAGTAATATGCATTGCTAAGAACTTCATTTGGACAACTTTAAAGACGATTTTCTCAATATTTTGATTTTTTTGCACCCTCAGATTCCAGATTTTCAAATAGTTGTATCTCGGCCAAATCTTGTCCTATCCTAACAAACCATACATCAATGGAGAGCTTATTTATTCAGCTTTCAGCTGATGTATTAATCTCATCTGGTTCTAAACTTTGTGGTCCAGGATCACATATGCAAACAATACATTTAAAAAAAATTCATTGCAAAATAAGTAGTTTGAGAAAGTCTGGAAACTGACCCGACATCATTCTCAGTGCTTCATGGGAGTGGGCGGAGCTAAAGAGTTATTTTGGCTTGATTTGCATGTTTAGATTTAGTTGCAGATTCATGGGTAATGTAGCTTTTCAACAGGGATTCTGCTGTTGAATATGGTTATTTTAAAAAAATAATATCATCGGATTGCTTTAACAAAAGTACATGGATTAACAACCTCAAAGCTCACAGCAGGTTTATAAGTTATCATTAAAAATCAATTCCCCTGTGGAGAAAATGAATGAGATTTTTACTTACGGCTGTTACACTCTATTCCTTGAAAGAACTGTTTATTATTGCTTTATTAAGACCAACATTATAAACATAATTGGGGGGAAAAAAGAATTAACTTAGATCCGTCCCAGAAAAAATCTCACCCAAAAGAGAAGCCTCCACTTGAGGCGGTGCTCTGAGTCTGGGCTCCGAAGCTGAATCCAGCTTGCATGCTTCCATTATTCTGCATCGGCTGAGCGAGAAGTCCTGCGATCTGAGACGACGGGTTCCCAAAGGTCTGAGTCTGGGGTTGGCTGGCCCCGAAAGATAAGGCCCCTCCCGCAGGAGCGCTGGTCTGCAGCCCGAAGCCTGTGGTGCCTGCAGCTGTAGTTTTAGGGGCTCCAAAGTTGAAACCTCCAGTGCCCGCCTGACCGAAGTTAAACGCCATAGTGCTGCAAACGATGAGTGAAACAAGAGTGAGAGCCTTGATGTGCCAGGCCTGTCCGATAGCGGACCTGTAGAAACGACCATCGTACATGATTTAATTGCAAATCTGTTGAATTTATTTTCAAGAATGGTGGTTAAACACCACTGTGTGCTAAGCAGCTAAGGGTGCACAAACACACATGTATGTCATACTGTGAAATATATCATTAATCATATCATCAAGACGATTACACAGGTTTATTAGAAATTGTGTCTAGAGGCCTAGACCATAGTACTGTAGATAATGTGTGCAGTCAACCCTCAACTCTGGCTTTCAGACTATGCTGCATAGCTCTTAATGTTTGACACTATGCAGCAAAAACACCGTCTAGGTAGCCTGCTGTGTCTTATTTTGCGACCATAATGTCCAAAAATGTCTTCTAGGTCCTGTAGGCTTTGAGAATATGATTGATGTAACTTACTGACTATGTAGGCTAAACGCTAGATTTTAGTTTTAGACCTTAGACTTAGTCTCTTTTACATATTCAGTCATACAACCATATTAAAATCAACTGATAACAAACGCAGTAGTAGAGCAGCTCATGTGCTTCATTAGAAATGAACATTTCGTGTTATCGGTTCATTAAAATGGTTGAATAATATAGTTTAAGTTCAGTGCAGACACAGCTAGCTGACAGCTCCTCACATTAATGCCCTCCTCTGCACAATTACATCGCTCGTGTTAGTACTATAAAACTAAGACGGGCAGACTAAATGATATAAGGGGAAATAATTAACAATTAAAACTTACACAGAGCTCTTCACAGCAGCTCCTGCGCAGTGTGCGTCACACGCGCTGCTCCCGTGAGGACCCCTGCGTCTACTGTCTAAAACACTGCCTGACCAAAATTACAGTTCTTACACGACAGCCACTTTCAAATAGTACCTACATCAAAATAAAGTTAAACTGCCGCATCAAATAATCAACCAATCAATATTTTATTTATTAGGATTTTGATTTAATTTTAATTACATGAACAAAAAAGGCCTAAAAGTATGATGATAATACCATGTTGTTGTTGTTGTTGTTTTTATAAAGCAGTTTTGCATTTTATTCGGTTCTGCACACAATGTTTTTTGTTTTGTTTTTTAAATGAAAGATTTAAATGGATTGATTTATAAAATTAATTGACAATAATGACAACATGACTGAAGCAAAATTTCAAAACTTTACGCTAAAACAAGCTATAAAAAAGAGTGTTATAATCAGTGTTTGCTTTGAGGGAGGGTCACGGACTGCTCATTAATATTGACAGAGTCCTGAACACTTTATTACACCATATGACTAACATACAGTATTTTATAACGTTTCTTTAGATTAATTTTTTTTTTCCAGTTCGTTGAGTCCACGACACGAAAGCTCAAATAAAGTTATACATTCAATAAATTATACAATCATTCTGTATTGAGAAGATCGAAAAGGTCATCAGAAACTTACAAAACCTGCCAAGAAGTGACTAATTATTATTATTTTTAGTTCCGTCACATACAAATACAAGGCAAAAAGTAAGGCAGATATAAGACAATGCCGTACAGTTTAAAGCATGTAAAACAAAATAACAACATGAACACTTTATTACACCATATGACTAACATACAGTATTTTATAACGTTTCTTTAGATTAATTTTTTTTTTCCAGTTCGTTGAGTCCACGACACGAAAGCTCAAATAAAGTTATACATTCAATAAATTATACAATCATTCTGTATTGAGAAGATCGAAAAGGTCATCAGAAACTTACAAAACCTGCCAAGAAGTGACTAATTATTATTATTTTTAGTTCCGTCACATACAAATACAAGGCAAAAGGCAGATATAAGACAATGCCGTACAGTTTAAAGCATGTAAAACACAACAACAACAACAACATAAAATGAACATAAACATATTATTTAAAAAAAATACTAGGATAAAAAGTGCTATATAACATTAGGGCAGTTGCATACATTTGAAGAGCTTTAGAAGAACGTTTATTGTTTTTAAGCTTCTTGTTTTGTGGTCTCATATTAGAAAGGGTTTCAAAATATATTTAAGATCAGTGTCACAAAAGGTAATATATGATGGTTTATTTTGAGTCTTGTCTTATGAATATAAAACTTTGCTAAAAAAATAAATAAAAGATTAATAATGAAATTTTGTATTTTATATGGGAAAAAACATTGGAAAACAAAGTAAAATGTCATAAGGTTCTATATTAAGTTTATATTCTAAGTCAATTAAAAGCTAGAAATTAGAGAACAATTAGAGTTGCCTATACACTACCAGTCGAAAGTTTTTTAAAGAAGTCTCTTCTGCTCTCCAAGCCTGCATTTATTTGATCCAAAGTCCAGCAAAACAGTAACATTTTGAATTATTTTTACTAGGCTATTTAAAATAACTATTTTCTATTTGAATATATTTTAAAATGTAATTTATAGTGATTTCAAAGCTACATTTTCAGCATCATTACTCCAGTCACACGATCCTTCAGAAATCATTCTGATATTCTGATTTGCTGCTCAAAAAACATTAATTATTGTTATTATTATGTTGAAAACAGCTGAGTATAATCATTCAGGTTTCTTTGATGCATAGAAAGTTCAGAAGAACAGCATTTATCTGAAATAGAAATCTTTTGTAACATTATAAATGTCTGGAATAATGATGCTGAAAATACAGCTTTGATCACAGGAATAAATTTTAAATATATTCAAATAGAAAGCAGTTATTTTAAATAGTAAGAATATTTCACAACATTACTGCGTTTGCTGTACTTTGAATCAAATAAATGCAGGCTTGGTGAGCAGAAGAGACTTCTTTATAAAACATTAAAAATCTTACTGTTCAAAAACTGTTGACTGGTAGGTTATATAGATTACAGAAATGTTATATTGTAATGTTTTATATATATATATATAACATTTCTGTCCCCCTCACTTCTGAAATGATGGCTACGCCCTGAGCAGACACATCTCAGCTCTTTCACACACAATCAAAGACACGGAGGAGATGATGAAAGCCAGTGACAATGTCTGCTTTCTGAAGGTGATGACTGATTTTGGCTTCATCATTTGCACACAAAACAGCTTGCTAATTAACCAATCAATGATCAAACTAATGATTTGTATAGAGAGATAGTACACTGTTATGAGCATTTTTTTAAAGATATTAAAATGTTTTTCAAACTCTATATTTTCCAGAACTTTAACGTCACGAAGGAAAGGTAAGTTGAGCTGCTGCACTGTAAAAAATGATTGTGATTTTAACAGTAAAAGACTGTAAAATGCTACAGTAAAAACCTGTTAACTGGTTAACAGTAAGTTTCCATACTATATTCGGTGAATAAATGTAATTACATTATTGAGCATCTCTGGAGAGACCTAAAAATGGCTTTCCACCAACGTTTACCATCCAACCTGACAGAACTGGAGTGGATCTGCAAGAGGGAATGGCAGAGGATCCCCAAATCCATGTGTGAAAAACTTGTTGCATCTTTCCCAATAAGACTCATGGCTGTATTAGATCAAATGGGTGCTTCTACTAAATACTGAGCATTTTTCAGTTTTTCTTTTTTAATAAATTTGCAAAAATGTCAACAATTCTGTGTTTTTCTGTCAATATGGGGTGCTGTGTGTACATTAATGAGGAAAAAAAATTAACTTAAATGATTTTAGCAAATGGCTGCAATATAACAAAGAGTGAAAAATTTAAGGGGGTCTGAATACTTTCCGTACCCACTGTATATTGTATTGTATTATATATAAGTATTGCCCTCCTCAGCTCGCAGAAAAGCTGTTTGTGATGAGCTTTGGTTCATCATGTGACTTTCTCATCACCACCAGTTTTTGGTGGTTATCAGTGCATTACAATGGTTCAAAACAGATATTATTACTTCAATATGTTGGTCTATTAACATTACATCAGTTAATGAAATACGGTGTTTTATTGTGAATTTAAGTTAAGTCTGTAAAACCTAAAATGTTGCTACCATATTTTTTCTGGCAACCACAGCTGCCGGTATTTTACCGTAAATATCACCGATTTTTTTTACAGTGTGGTGTTTCTTCTCTCAGTGGATCTGATCTCAAATCCAGAGTCCAGATCTCACAATTTTCATTCTTGGGTGAACTAACCCTTTAAGTCATGTTTTTAAAATACTATTATTATTATTATTATTATTAGTAATTCAGTAACTAGTAACCATAAATTCAGTACAGTAATGGGCAATAATGTTTTAATCAACATTTACAAATATATCTAAGTCAAAATAAACTGTTTTAGTCATCTTTTTAGTAACCGTCTTGTCAATTAAGTCCTCATTGGGGAGCGTATCTGTGTTCTCAGGGTTCTAAGACGACACTGTAGTTCTTGAATTATTCTAAATTCTTCAATAATGTCATTTCTTATGAGTGACACGTTTCTTATGGATGTTCTGTGCATTGAACATTAAGAAAGAGAAGAAAAAGAAAAAAAAGCACCACACTGGATGCAAAATGATGTACTTAATATGAAACAAATGCAAGACAAATACCATGTAGGCTATAAGAACAACCACTGCAGCTTACGCTGGGTGTTGGTGACAGGAGGACACATAGAAAGCCATGCTAAATGCATCCTTTCATTTATTTTCCATTTTCAAAGTAACTTTTACAACCAGAACAGCTGTTAATTCAGATAAAAATGAAACGTTATTATGCTATCAAATGTGTAGTTAAAGTCACAACGAAACAGAAGTAGCAGCAGATCTTTTCTTCTGTATTGTTCTGTATTATTGTTGATTGGATTTTGAGTTATTCACACTCAAATATGAATGTGGTCTTGCAGTTGATTGTGAAGGGGTGGTGTTTAAGAGGACTAAATGGTTGGAGAAGGCCTGCATACGTAACCAAAATCTGACGTTTGTTCAAAAAAAATGAAACACACATGGAGTCATGCCGACTTTTAGCAAAAGATGTCACATTTTTAAAAAATGTGTATATGGCCACAATGATCCTTTCTAAATGTATTTAATAGAAATTAAAGAAAAATTACGGTAACACTTTATTTTAAGGACCAATTCTCACTATTAAGTAGTTGTTTTTTTAGCATGTATATTATAGCATATTGGCTGTTTTTCAGTACTTATAAAGCACATAATAATGTCTTATTCTGCATGACCTTATTTATGATCCCCTAATCCACCTCATACCTGAACTTAACAACTACCTCAAATAACTTAAAGGGGTCATATGATGCGATTTCAATTTTTCCTTTCTCTTTGGAGTGTTACAAGCTCTTGGTGCATAAAGAAGATCTGTAAAGTTGCAAAGACTAAAGTCTCAAATCCAAAGAGATATTCTTTATAAAAGTTAAGAGTCAGCCACGCCTACCTAAAACGGCTCGTTCTCCGGATCGGCTTTCACCGTGGACGAAGCGGAGTCCAGCCGGCCGCTCCTTCGTCAAATCCGCCGCCTCTGCTCACTGTAGGCCTCCGTGTGTGTGACGCTGTGTGTTTCGTTGTGGAAGTGAAACTACTTTGTTTGGTCTTCCAAAAAAGGACACGACTAGAAATCAGTGGTTAAGTTGTATTTACAACACTGTTCCAGTACAGTTCAACCCAAATATTCAGATGTGTTGGTCAATCAGAGCACACCTCGCTTTTCAGACTGATGAGCTTTGTAAAAATCGACGCGTTTCAGAAAGGCGGGGCATAGAGGAGAAACAATAATGTACAGTATGTGGAAAATAATGTGTTTTCTTAACCTTAAACCGCATAAACACATTTCATTACACCAAATACACAAAATAATGTTCTTTTTAGCAACATCACATGACCCCTTTAACAATTGGACCTTAAAATAAAGTGTGACCCAAAATTACATGAGTTAAT